CTCTCTTTCGCTCTCTTTGATAAATTTCACGATTTTCATCACGCAAAATTTTTTCTCCCAGCGCGCGAATCAACGTTTCAATTGAATAATTCTTCGATTGTCTCCACGAAACATTTCTATTTTTGACGTATAACTATTAAATAACAATAACTATTAACAATTATGACACACATTTCGAATTGAATTATCGCGTTACATTAAGCGTCTCGAGGCCAAACAGGCACATGTTCCGCGTTGAATTATTGATCGTAGCTCATTGGTTGTAGCGACGAGAATTCCGTTCACGATGTCGACGATGATTTTATCGATGATCAATGACTGTCCCAAGGCAATCCGCGGTTTTCATGCAATCGATAAACAGAAATTGCGTAGTCGATGTAAATAAAGCGAATGATCGACAATGCACTCTTTCATCCCTATACTTACGAAAATATATATAAATATTTGTAACGTACGCAACGTTTATGATAATAACGTATGATAATACGTACGCGCTTATTTGCCAAATGTACAAATATCTTTTATATTTCCTCTATAGATTTTTGAAACAATCAGTAATTTAAAATAACAAATCAAAAGAAATGTATAATATCGATTCAAAACATTACATATAATTAACATTGCGGAGCTTTTGTTTTAACGTTTTTGTTGAAATTAACTTATAAATTAAAAAAATTTTTTATTTTGCATATTGTTTCATAATTAAATCTTACCGACAAATTAATTAAATTGCATTTTATCACAATAATCAACAACATTGTTAAATATATATTTCAAACTAGATTATATTTCAATCAAAGTATCATACGAATATATATGCGTGAGTTTCAAATTTCCTATGTAATGTTAAATAATTCATAGGATAACTCAGTGGCGTAACTCAGGACCGTTATTGAAAATGTAACTTTTCGAAAACGTAGAAAGTACGGAGTTCAAAAGGAACGCAGGAACTCGAAAGGAGCGCAGAGCGCTATTTCAACGAATAGCGAAGCGACATTTCTCGTGCAAAATTCGCAAAATGTCCGCCTCGGCCCCTCCAGTCGAAGCGTGGGCGGCATGACCTACCTAGTCTCTATCTATCTATCTTTATACCCTTAGCTCGGATCTGCATAATACATCATCGGTATCGGTAAAATAACTAACGACAATAATAATTCCAAACTGGTTCGCGCGACGCTAACTCGACGAATGTTGCCGAGTCGACGTTCCATCGGTGTGCATAAAACATCATATATAAAACTTTCTCATTATTGCACCATACTGCAAGAGAAGTAAAACAACTCCACATACTCCGCATCAGCATTCAATTGCCACATTGTGTGAATATAACATTACAAAACATAGCGTATTAATTATAATCGTATACGGAAGGAACGGTTCCGCTGAAGTATTTAAAAATTTGAGATTTTAAAGTTTTTAATACATTCACGGATACACTTGACACGAAGATGTAATCGAAACATTATCTAAGATTCTGATGTTCAAGATCCAGTTCTTATATTCAAGACTGTCTTAAGTATAAATTTAAAATGTCATAAACCAATCACACGAAGCATGTTAGCATTTTATGACATCACTTACAACAGTCTTAAAATATGAATAGATTATAAATGTCAATCTAAATTTTTCAGATTTTCCGATCGATAAATTCATTTTTTTTTCTCTACTTTTATTAAACGCAAATTCTAAGAAAAAGCAAATAAAAATTGGTATTTGGAATTAAAGCGAACTTAATATTCCTTTGGTAGAGAAGCAAGCTAATCTGGGATATTCTCATCGGACGCGCTTAAGAATTGATCCCGCATCTCACGATTAATATAATGATCCCACGATCGTGTAAAAAATTAACGATCCTCTATTCGTTCCTTAATTTTCGTAAAAGCTTCTAAATGATCCTGATATAATTATCCATATTTACCCGATATGCGAATATAATACACGCGATTGTGAGATTTAGATCACAATGATCTCGAAAATATCAGAAATACAAATATGATATTTCTTTAAGTTCAAGTTTTTCGGGAAAAATAATTTTTCAAAATATTGCATTAAAACTTACTATTTCTAAGAATAAGTTTTAGTTTGTATTTCTAATATAATGTCTACTAATTTTAAGATATCTGATTCGTCGGTTCTTAAATGCTTACGTTATAGACACCCCATATAGCGGTCTACCACTCAGTTTTAGTAGATATTTGATCGTGTATTATCTCGTACATACATCCAGGTACTTTATGTCCTTCGACATAGCGATAATTCTTTACTGTCTTCTGCACGGTCGTAAATATATCATGTTTTCAATTTATCTTTGCTGTCTGTTTATTAGTATCGTTTTCCTTGAAATTCTTCTATACTACTACCTTCTTTCGGTACGAGATAATTATCTCAGATAATTATTTAAGTTTATCTAATTAAAATTAATTTTGCAGTTTATGCAATTTTTATATATAATAATCTTCACACAGATTCGTACACAAGATTGATGCAAAAAAATAGTTCTTCATCGAATTTTATATTAAATAAAATTCAAAAATTAAAATTCTTCGAAAAAAGAATTGAAAACTTTTTCTCTAAAAAACAGAATATAAGAATTTTTTATAATTTATTGTAACCATCTTAAACTGTAACATTAAAGATAAAAAAACATGATAAAAATTCTCTTGCAAAATACATTAAAATGAAAATATTTTTCAGTAAAACAATATTTGCAATCACAAAACAACAGATTTATAAAATATAATGAAAATGTTTTTTTTGGTAATCAATGATAACAATATATCTAGAATTGAATTATGTCTAGTTAAAAACGAGAACGTAATTCAATTCTATAAACAAAAAAGGAATTTTAGATATATTTTACAAGTTCATTCTATTAATCGTAAATATTGGTTTATTGAAAACTATTTCTGTTTTCATGTATTTTGCAAGAACTTTATCATCATATATTTTTTTGCTTTTGACGTCATCAATTCAGATGGCCACAAAACCTTAAACTATTGAAAGCAATTTTATTTTGATTTTTATTTTTAACTCTGAAATTTTATTTTTAACTCTGATAAACATAATAAATTTTTTGCGCCAACCTAATATAATGTTTCTTTCTTTTATTCATATCCAGCTACAATTAAAATGAATCTCTGCGAGATTCTTTGATTAAAAAACGTATCTGAATTTAATTTCAAATTAAATGCAATCTAAGGAATTAAAATATTTCACAAATATACAAAAAAGTTATATATAGGTATATATAATAATAGGTACTTAAAAGGTAAATTTAAATAAAAATAAATATTTACTTGAGCTAATTTGAATGGTGTAAATCAAAGAGGCTGTAAAATATATGCGATTAGGGATTAATACTTACTTGACGGTCAGTTGACGTTGGATCAAGAGTTTCTTCTCAATCTGTTCAATCGGAAATTGTGGGACTTCATAAGGTGCCGAAATTTCATTTGGCAATTCATGAGATGCAAGTCTTAAGCCACTGCCACCGCCTGTGCCGCTACCACCACTTTCGATGCCAAAGACTGGGCTCTCACTACCTGCGGCGAGAAACAAAATAACTTTGTTAAAATCAGAATCAGCTAATGTAAAGAGTAGTCTGCACCATCTGCTTATGTAAAATAAGCTATTTTAATAATTAATACTTGTCCTATTGTATAATATTAAATATAATTGTGAATTAAATTTCATATACACACACATATATAATTACACATAAAAGTTTTATTTCTGTTTTTAATTATTTTATATCAATATTATTTCAATGCAATTTATTACGCTTTTGTCATTCACCTTATTTTAAAATTTACATATACAATATGCATATACTATGATTTTAGTGAAAGTTGCAGTATGAGTTGCAGCATGAGGAAAGCGTATATAATGTTAATTCACAGAGTTTAAATCACATATTATTACAGGTAATGAAATAGAATTAAAATGACAGATTTAATAATTTCTTCTAGATATGTCTGTCATGTTGCAGCATACAATAATTTATTATTATTATTAAACACAATAAAAAAACTCGCATTACATGAAAGTTACGAAATTTTAGTTTCGTTTAAGGATAAATATAGAACAGCCCGCGACGGAAAAATTAAAGAGAAATTGAAATCTTGATAATTATTGATTTACCATTATTTACATAGTCGGTAGCCTGTCCGGTTTTCTGCAACCACTCGGTAACGGAATTGCGCTTGTACACGTCAAGAATTTCATTCTCGTTTCCCATTTCGATTGTATCGATTGTTTTTATCGATATGAATCGCTACACGTATCCTGCAAGTATTTTCCAATTTTATGCTACATTTGTGTTTACACGATCCCGTCACTCGAAAGGCTTCAAATGATTGATCGTTCCCGACTCGCCCCGAAGATACGTACATAAGAAAGTTAAAACAATTAATTAAAGTAAGTAGGTCACGACTGAGTTATAATCGACTGAAAACACGCATCTCCATACATCCTATTTACATATGCAATTAAAAAGAATTAACATTTTATTAACTAAATTGAATAGTTAATCATCAAGCGGTGACTGATTCTAGCCATCTAGCTATAAATGCAATTAGTAAACCACGAGTGTAGTTACTAATTAATTATTTAGATTAAACGAGGAATTGGTAATTGACTGTGATTTCGAAAATACAAAGAATTAACAGCTGCTTGTAGCTAGTGAATTATGAAGTTGCTACAATTTCTTTATCATTCGCGCGTTTAATACTGGTTACTTCTAACTGGATATTACTTTGCCCGCTCTTATTCCAGAGAGGGTCACTAGTCTAACAATGATCGCACTTCCGCGAGAGACGCGATCATTCTCCCACGATATGATCAATGAACCAATGAGCTCGCCGCGACCCTCGACAAATATACAAAGAGCCGCAGTGCCGAGTTATTAATAGAACGCGACGCACGGTGCACGGTTGACGAGGACTGTTGTTTTCGCTCGTCAAACGACGAACTTCTCTTGCCTTCGGCGCCATCGTGTTGCACCACGAGGGCAACGAGGTTCGCGCGTGCATTGTCGCGTCGCATTGACCGAAGTCACGTTCTACGATGACAAACAAAAAGTTGTTATGACGAACTCATTACAAATTTAATCGCGGACTACACGTTACTATCCACGTGTAATAAACGGTACTACGGGGTGTGAATTGGGATTGCATCTAGGATGATTGAATCACGCCTGTGCACAGTTTCTCCGTCACAGCATCTAATTTGCATTTGAAATTATCACGAACGTACTCTTGTGCAGATAAATTATACGGAAAACAAGTTGTAATATTATAATCCCTTAATTAATATATCCCTTTATTCTCTGTGCGAAAACATAATAATGAATCAATTTAAAAAGAAACTTTACAGAAAAAAAATAAGAAGGCAAACATGATCTCACTATTGATTTTGATAACACGATTAAATTTCCATAAGATAAAAAGAATTTTTGACGAAAAAAGAATATTATTAAAGGAGTAAATTTTTTACATTTTACAGGTAGAAACTACAATTATAATTATAGCTTAACAATCGCATTTCACGTTTAAATCATCCTTTTCATTTTAAAAAGGATTTATAATAGTACAATAAGAAAAATTGCAAAATAAATAAGTTCAAACGTCTAACGTGAATGGAAAAAATTCAGGACGCCAACAAGTGATTCGCCTTTTATCCGAGCGTCGATGGCGACGGGCCTGCTGATGAAAACATCGCTATGCTATAAATAGTTGACCCGAAGAAATATTTCCAGATTACACTCTCCCGCGTTTTCCGCAAGGTCGATACTCAGAAACTATCATCTTTTCACTATTTTCCAGTATTGGCGTGATGATTCATGCGCTTACCGAGTCACTTGTCCGACTATGAGTTACGTTTCTACGAAGGGCGGGAGTTACATACGACGCAGAATCGCGTTGATGAATTGCAATTTGTTCTTGAATCTAACCATCGTACGGTTTATTTATTTTCATATCTTGGATTTTCACGTACTGTCTGCGTGAACTTGTTTTGAATCCCGCGTGCACGAGATAAGCGCATTGCCATTTGTTAATTAAAAAGCAATTCAGACTATTTTTGTAACGGAAAACTTGTTTATAAATTGTAATTTATAAACAAATCTAAATCTATAAAGAATTATATTTTTAATCAAGAATATTTTCTTAAGCAAGTATATTTGTAGAATATTTGTAGAACGTTTGTAGAACATTGCATACAAACTGATCGAGTGTTTTAGCAAAATAAACATGAAGGTTTTTCAATATATAAAAATTTACCAAAATATTTACTAAAAAAAAATCTATATTCATAGAAATAGAATATTACGTATATTTTCATAAGTAATTCCTTCTCGTAAAATAAAGCTAAATATCACAATTAATATTAGAATATATAAAATGTATCACGAATCATATCAGCAATTCGTCTGTGATTTTAAATAAAATCCAATGCAATGCCCAAAAATTTCTCGAGTATTTGAATAATAATATAAAGAAATACTCGATACAGTAGTATTAAAATTACAATGTATAAGATCTCTATAATTCTCTTTTATCATTTCTTATTCTGTATTATCAAAGTTAATACTTGCGAGATTGAAGTTTACGAGAAAAAAAAAAAAAAAGCGAAGAGACCAATTAAAGCAGAGAGATGTCGTAAGCCTCTGCTCATCTTCAGTTAAATGTATTTACAAGCATTTTAACGCATGATAAGAACACCGTTCTGACGGAGATAATTAATTAGACTAAAGATACTTATTATCAACGCATTTTTGAAAAAGCGAAGGGCTACGTGTCCGTTGTCACGAACCAAATTAATGTCCTTGTTGAAGCACGAGATATTGTTGGCGAGCAACTTTTATTGCGATCAATACATTTGAGGAGCCGTTTGCATTGCATCGATGTCGATTAACGCGCTAACTCTAGTCAATAGGGTCTTCTCTTCTTTAATATATATTTGGAATATAATCTGCTGTATATAATAAAATAAGACCTGATAAAATTAATAATTAATTCTCCTTTTCGGAGGTATTGAAATTAGTGCCATTAGTGCGCGTTTAAAATTTCTTAACCGTACATATGTAAATTCTATTAAAACAGAATTTATGTATAGATTGAATAAATAATCATTTTTGGTTATTTTTTGAATTTTTTTCAAGTGTTTTCTAGGTTTTTTGAACAATATTGCCGCTACACGACCTACTAGAACCATTTTCTAGTTTTTGACCTGGACCCATTCATTTAGCCATTCGATTCTGGTTAGAGTTGTTTCATATTTTACCTCATATTATATCTGTGTCAAGTTTCAACGATTGGTTTTGTAATAAAATAATATAAAATTATTTCAATTTTGCATATTCCTTTACGTAAATCTTAAATACTTACGTAATTCTTAAATACTTATATAAAAAAAATTAAGATTTTTGTCATTATTTCTTAATTATATTTCAATCAAAGTATATTTTTACTTAATATTTAAATAGTTTTTAATCCAGATTCTGAATCTCCGCAAAACTGTTTATATTACTTTTAAATGCGATCTAGAATAATCTATATATTTTTTTCATAAATAAAAATAAGTGTAATACATCCTTAACCATTCTCGGTCTCAGATTATTCTAATGCGACACCAAGAATTAGACGAAATCGCACAATTCGATGCAATGCGAATTTGACATTTTTTTGACAGAATAACACACAAACTTGCGAGACGCTTTCCGTAAGATCCTCGACGATCACTCGATCCGCGTGATGTTCGTTTTTCTATGTCCGTTTTCGCTGACAAGTTTATAACGATTTCGCTCCACGGGAGAATGGAACGCAACACGTGATCGTTCTCAAAAATTTCTTCTCTCTCTTTCGATTGAAGCAACCTTCCTGCGTGTGTTTAGTCGACGACGCGTCGGAGGGCACTGACCATACCGACTGGTCTGCGAGTATCGAATGCACTGACTACGCCAGAGCGAGAGGAAGAGAGGGACTTGGTAGAATCTTGGCGGCGGAGCTGCATCGTGGAATCCGCGTGTGTACAAACATGCTCACGCGTGAGCTCGCGCCACGCACGCGTAACGAATTTAAGTTCATTATAAAGTGATACGAATCAGCTCATTGTAAAAACTATTCTGGTTATTTGACGAAGTATAAATACGATAGGATATGAGAAATTTCAGAGTAGACAGCCGATTTTCTATCTTTCTAAAAATAGTCAAGTTGGAATACTACGAAGCAATTAGTAATATAAAACGTTCGTAAACCGGAGGAGTTTTTGAAAAAAGATTGTTTTAGAAGGATTAAATTGGATTTTTCAGAATACCTGACGAAAGAAAAGTTTTCGACAAGAAAGATTAGATTTGAAATACCTTTCAAAAGCAATAGTCATGAGTGATTACAATGTTTAAGATGGAGAAGTGTCATTATATTTTAGCTAAAAAGATGTATAATGTTTGAATGATTGTAACTCGGAATTTTGTATGACGTTGCATCAGGAAATATTTATCCATCCATTTTATTCGTGGAAACATTTTTAAAAAACATTTTAAAAG